TTTTTGTATTTTTAATAAAAATTTGCAACGTTTTTACGCTATTTCTGAACACACACTTGATTGAAAAATACTTCCTCTGTTGATAATCAAAAAAAAATTGAATTCGAACGAAAAAAGTTGATTTTTGGTTTGCCCTGATAGCCCTCGATAATGGAAAAGAACCATTTTCTTAAACTGACTTTAAAAAATTGCGTAGTTAATTAGTAGTAGTTATAAAAAGGTAGTAAACATCTCAAAAAATATCGTTTTTACAAAGGAAAAAACGGGAGAAAAGTTCGTTCTCCCCTGACAACCCCCCGGGCCCCCCACCCGAAATTCGGGTCTAAGTTTCTTCACAGCTTCAAGCCCAACTCCAATTTCTGCCTGTAAAAACCCCGGACAATCTCTAAAAGGTAGATGATATCCGGGGGCAAACAGTCTCCCCAATCTCCAACACATATCGATCATCGCCGTGTGAAAACCACACGAACCGTCCCCATCCATCATCTTCTCATCTTTTTCTTTTCTCTCTCTCTCTCTCTCTCTCTCTCTCTCTCTGTCTTTCCCTCTCTATCCCTCTCTCGCTCTCTCTCGCTCTCTCTCTCACCACCTCCAGCTCCATCTTTTTCTCGCTCATCCTCCCCCGTCAGATACTCACCATTCAATGATGGCCTATAAAGACGTCGAACACTTCCGATCCACGCGAGAACACCCAGCGGTCTAGACACCTGAAAAAAATTGTTACGAAATCGAGAATTGCGCAATGTTTTAGTACTTTTCCATTATCGGGGGAGGGGGTGATTTATCAGGGGGAATGCCATCTTTTTTTTCTTTAGCATCCAGTTTTTCTGATATAACTAGTGAAAGTGTTGCTCCCCACTAAAAAATGTTACAAAATTGGGAATTGTTGATGGGCTTTTGGTCCTTATGTATTATCGGGGGGGGGGGGGGGGGAACTGGAAGAAAACCCAATTTTCTTTAAAATTCAAAGAGCTTCAAAGAGGATTCAAAAAAGTTTTAACTGCTCTTTACTATTCCTAAATGTAAAAACTTTACAAGTTTTTAGTAAAAAACACGAAATTTAACGATTTTCGACCAAAAAAATACCAATTTTCGACAAAAATGTAGGATTTTCAAAGATTTTTTAGATAGTTTTTCCACTTGAAATATAGTCAGATGTGTTACTAAAAACACTATTAAACTACTGCGCTATTTGGTGCAACCCCCCCGATAATACAAAAGCTCCTAAAATACATCCTTTTCCAGAAATTACGAGTCGCTCCTATCTTCCCACCTCCCAAACAACGACACCGCCACGTTAATCCTCGATTTTGATGAAAGGTTTGGAAAATTCGGTATTTATATGACTTTTCCTTGCCAGTGAGCCATCATCTACCAGTAATTCGACACGGCGGATACGAAGAGATACCGGGGAAGTGACCCGGAAGCCGTGCCAGCGGTTTAATATAGAATGGGTGGGTTTTATAGGTGTAAACTGACTTATTTTCATTTTGTCGACATTTCATGTTGTCGAAAATCATTTTGTCGGCATTTCACAGCCTTCTTCGCTTCGATTATTCATTTGGAAGTTTCCGCGCATGGAAATTTCAACAAAATGGCATTTTAACAAATTGAAATTGCGACAAATTGGCAGCAATTCATGGAAAATTTTCTGGTTCTAGGTGTTAATCCCACTGTTCCTCGCGTTGATCCCCGTCGGCCTGCTAGCACTGGTGCTTTGTACGTGTTTCTGTGGACCGGAAGAGAGTCGGGGTAGGTGTTGGAAAACGTTTATAGCTAAAAATACATTAATTTTAGCTTTTTTATAGTCGAAATAACATATCTAAAATTCAGGAAAACTTCCGGAAAATCTCTGGAATAAACTAGAGGCGCTGCTCTGTCTCGGCCACGCAAAGCAGGGCGAAGAAATGGAGCTGGAGTATCGGGTAAGCGGCATTGCGGCTTTCTGATTTGTAATTTAACGTACTTTCACAGTTAAAAATTAACAACTAAACCATGGTTTATAGGACGGCTACGTACAGCGAAAGGACTCGACGAAAACCAAGTTTTCCACCGTCGTATCGTTTATCGAGCCTCGGAGGAATAGTATATGGAGTATACGCACTAATGGTAAGTAAGCTTCAAGCTTCTAACGTTTTTTTGAGCACGGCGTTAGAAAGCTAAGTTTATTTAATTGTTGGTTTGAAAAATGCCGATTTTAGCATCAATCGAGGCGCCCTCAGAACCGGAAGCCCCGCCGGCAGCCCCTATCAAAAAGATTTCATCCTCGGGCAGTATTGTGCGATTCAGCGATCAGGTAAGGATCGTCTTAAGAAGATAAACAACTAAAAATATACAAAAAATAATGATACAGTAAAAATAACACGTAATTTTACACCTTCAGATCTCGGTGCTCGGCGTCGACGAGCTGCAAGTTGCCAAGCGATAGGACCGAAGCCTCAGCCGAAGCCTGAGCGAAGCCGAAGCTAAGCCTAAGCCAAAGCCGAACCCTAAGCTAAGCCTAAGCCTAAGCTCAAGCTCAAGCCTCATCTCCCCTCCATTTCGACGACCACAAATCCATGTCGGGTATCCAGAATAGCCATTCGCATTTCTATATAGGGTATGATTTCCGCATTTCTAGGTGCCACCCAATATCTAGAGATCTCTGCCGTGTGTTCGCTGTCTCTCTCTCTCTCTCTCTCTCTCTCTCTCTCTATAGCTCTTCCCCCAAGGTTTGTCAGTCTAAAAGTTGCCCCTGTCAGGACGCTGTGCTTTATCTCTCAACTCCACAAACAGCCCATTCTGTTGGCCACAAATTTTCATATTTTTTTTGTGATTTCTGGAGTCCAGTTGAACGCTAGACGACGCGGCGATACGCGCTTACGGTACCTCGGATGGAAGCGTATTGTCGCGTAGGCTATGCACATGACTTCGAGTCCATATTGATTTCCAGCGTACCCATTTCCTGTCTGTATATAGCTTGTCGATATGATTGTAGCTATCCGGCTTTGATATATAATAAATATTGAATTTTTGAAGGTTATTTATACTATCCACAATCCAATAGATGTTTGTAATATATCAACTCTGGCAGGGGTGGGGAGGGGAATTTGGCAATAGAAATATATGTAGTCGGTAGCCTGTACATTGTTACAACCACACAAAAACTTCTATTCCGAGGAAAAACTTGTCGGAAACTCGTCACACACAAAATTATTTAGCCGCGGGTAGGAGGGGGAACCCATATTTGTGGAGAATTGATGAATTGGGGCAATTTTGTCGGCATTTTCCGCTATGATCCGCTGGACACCGGGGAATCATGCGCCGAGTCGCCGGTGTCGGCTGACGAGACGACGGTTTCACGCTAAAACAGTAGATTTCAGTAACTTTACGGCGATAAGCCTAAGCTAAGCCAAGCTAGGTATAAGCTAAGCCTTAGCTAAGCCTAAGCTAAGCCCAAGCTAGGCCTAAGTTAAGCCTAAGCTAAGCCTAAGCCAAGCCTACCAAGCCTAAGCCAAGCTTAAGCTAAGCCTAAGCTAAGCCCAAGCCAAGCCTAAGCTAAGCCAAGTTATGCCTAAGCTAAGCCTAAGCCAAGCCTAAGTCAAGCCTAAGTTAAGCCGGAGCGAGGCTCAAGCTAAGCCTAACCTAAGCCTACCGTAAGCCTAAACACACCTCATCCTCATTTTCCTCATTTATCGACTCGCAAATCGGCTTTTCGAAGGGTTCAAAAGCCGAGCAGCCGTTTAAGGAACTGAAAAAAATTAGTAGTTCAAAAAATCGTTGATTTAGAGCGTAACTACGCCTGGCTCCACCAAACGTTCTTACCTTGGCCTTGAGGGCGTAAGTCCGGCTGCCAAAAGCACCTCATCTGGTAGCCGGAGGTCAATCGGGGGCCCGTAGATCGAAAGCCATCTAAAAATTATGTATATCATTAGATCTTTTATGTAAATATCGTATATTAGTAGTTACAAAACCGACCTAACAATATAATTCCCATGGCCAGGCATCTCAGCCATTCTGCCCGGCGTTTCCACGGGGTCCACAAAGAAAAATAAGACCCCATAATAGGGGTGAGGCTCTTGCGTGACGTTTCTAAATATAGATTTTGTTAATTATATCCTTTTTATTAGGTTAACAGGGTTTTAAAGTTTTTAATACTGGTTAAACCCACTTAAAATACGCGTCACTATCGAAGTTCCCCCTCCGCGCCAGCAATGCTCGAATTTCGTCCAGTCGTAGTGGTCGGCCATCTAAAAAAATCAATGCTTGCTGTGCCAAATACTATTTAAAGTAATAAAGGCTTTCTAAGCACTTACCTCTATGATAAAAATTAAACCAAAGCACCGGGCAATCCCTGATGGCACATCTCAAAATATGACACTGACGATTCAACGGCTCTCCACCCAGCCTCACCATCACCGATTGCTTCAGCCAGAAGCCCGACTCCCACTGAAAAAGGGTTTATATACGGTAATCAGATAAACCGTAAACTAGAAAGCGTTTTTACATAGTTTAACCTAAAAATCCGGCCTTACAGGTAGTTTTTACAGCGTGTGATCGTCCAAAAACTACTATAAAAAGCTTTACATAGCGTAATCGGATAAACCGGATAATCATAATAGTTTTAAATAGTTTAATTCGACGCCCTAACATCGAAAAAATATTTTTACATCGCGTAATTGGACAATCGGACGCTGGCAACGTACCGAAAAAACCGGTAAAAGACACTGTTTTTGACTGCGTAATCGGATTTTTATAGCCTAACAGCATAAGCCTACCCCTAAAAAAGCATATATCCAGGGCGTAATCGTTTAGACTCGCCACTAATTACATTTTTTACATATGGTCGGCTATAAAACCTCCTATCCCTCCAAAATTTCCTCCATTTCATTTGCCACCCAATAAAGAATTCAATTCCAATTTTACAGGCCCCCTTCTCGGCTTCGTCCCAACCTTTTCATGTCCCTTTAATTACCCCCCGAACGAATGGGTCTGTTTGGGTCCCATTGAGACCCATGGGCCCCTATTGCCCTATTGGCCCCAACCCCCGCTTCTCCCACCCACCCCCCAATGTTTTTGATTGCGCGCGTCGACCGAGGCTTCTTGAGACTTTTTTTGGGGGAGGCCAAGGGGGCCTTGGCCTGAATAATTTAGGGCCCAGAAGCAGTGGCCAGCCAGAAAACGACTGGAACAGAAGGGGAAAAGAAGAAAAGAAAGTGGCGCGGCGGGGGGAAATCCCTTCCGTTTGTCCAACTCTCGCCCCGGGCACACTAACATTCCAACGTTCAAGACGGCTTTTGAAAGCAGAGAGCGAAAAAGGAGGCAGCAAAAAGCACAAAAATGGGTTTTGGCGGGTCGAAAAGTCGAACCAGCTAGGTGAGATTTTGAGGGAAAAGAACTGCCATAAAGTCATCAAAATCAGTTAAATTTTGCGAATTTAAGGGGCCGGGCAGGGGATGATGGCGGATTTTAATGATTATGGATTTTCCATGGATTTGGCCGCTTCCGCGACACGCAACACACCACCCGTTAAAGGGATGCCGACGGCATAATCAATCGGTTACGCGCTGGAAAGAAAAATGTCTCTGCGCCTCTCTCCAGGGCGCGCTCTCTGCCCTGTTGGCTACTTGCCAATTTGTTGATGGGGGGGGGATCGACACATGCCGTCGGCAGCCCTTAAAAACGAAAGTTTCGCAATAAGAACCTATGTGTACGTTGCGCTACGCCGTACACGTTGATAACTTGGGTATGTTGCATTTTTGGCGTCTTACATTTCTACTTCGGACGATTTTTCACAAGGGCTTAAAGGGCTGCCGACGGCATGTGTCGATCCCCCCTATCAACAAATTGGCAAGTAGCCAACAGGGCAGAGAGCGCGCCCTAGGGAGAGGCGCAGAGACATTTTCTTTCCAGCGCGTAACCGATTGATTATGCCGTCGACATCCCTTTAAAACCAGCAAAATTCTGGATCCACTTTTCAAACATTTACGACTACACTCTCCCCGGCGATTCCACTAATTTCCGTGTGGTCCTTAGGTGACTGTGTAGGGGGTTGTGGGAAAAGGTGGCTGGTTGGGTAATAGGATACGGCTTCTTCTTCTTCTTCTCCCCCCTGCCCGACTAGACCAAGAAGTCCTCCGGGGATTGTGCAAGGAGGAAAATTCCGGCAAAAAACTTTCCAAAAACAAGACACAACGTTTCAACTGCATGGAAAAGTTCAGCCATCAAAATTCGAACGTATAAAGGCCACAAAAATTACTGCAAAATAAGGAAACCTTAGAAGAAACCTAAAAAGCCGAGGTAGAGTAGTAATTATTTACGCGAAATTCCCAATAACAAAATTTCATGGTTTGGATCGTGACCGGGTGAGGAAAGTTGGCTTTAAACGCGTGCCCCGTAGCGGCCAATACAAAATATAAACGGCTTGACATAATTCCTAGATTTTCTTAAGTGTACGTCATTATTAGAAAAGGTTAAAAATTTTGAAAACTCCCTTTTACGGTCAAAAAAATCGCCAAAAACTGGGCAAAAACTGCATTTTAAATTGTGAAAAATTCTAAACTGACCAACAAACTTTCATACATTTTAATTTGTAAAATGTTAATACCTTATTACCAACTAGGAAAGACTCACTTTATTAAGGGTCCACTTCTCCTTGGAATACTCATCCATCAACGCCACGAATCCTGTCAGATCCTGAAAAAGAGGTTGTTCAGGGCAAAGTTGGATGATGACAAGCTGACGCCTCCGTTTTTATATGCTTCTCCAGGCGACCAAAAAATCCTAGGGCCAACAGGGCCAAAAAGGGGCCCATAAAAGCTAGAATGGGCTCCGGAAGATGAATGTGAAGGACTCATTTTATGTCTTCGGCATTATTTTGAGGTCAAAACCGCAATAAGCCCTTTGATTTTGCAATTTACAGCCGATTAAAAAAGCCTGCTATCAAAAAATCCTCTCAAAAAGAGTTAAATATCTTGTAAAAACCTCAAAACTAGACGAAATAGCTATAATAACTTATTTTTAGTCTTTTTCGACTCGCGACTGTTTGAAAAATGCTTGTCACTACCTTAAAATTTCTATCAAAAACCGATTAATGTCTAGAACATCTTGTTATGAAAGAAAACTCGTAGAAAACCTTATAAAAGTTTTTTATAATAGATTTGTATAAATATTTTAAGGGTGTTTTCGAAATTCGCGTTGTAAAAGCTTAATTTTAATAAATATAATTAAAAATATGATCAAACCTTGCAAATCCCAGTAAAAATTAATAAAATTAGCCGACAACTATATAAAGCCGATTTTTATGGGTTTTCAGGCATTATTTTAAACAGTATTGCCTAAAATCGCTTAAATTACATCAGAAAACCCCACGAAAGCGGAAACGTAAATCTTTTAATAGAAAAACCATAGAAACAAAAAAAAAACAGGAAAAACGCACCCCCAAATATCGTGGCGTATGTCCTTGGGGCATCTTTCATGTCCGGTCTATCGGGGAAGGGTGTGTTTTTTAGCAGAGTAGCTGAAGGAGGTCCACCCTGAAAAAAGACTCACTGAAAGCGGGGGGTGGGCCCCCAGTTGAGATGGGGGGAGGGGCCTCTAGGGGCCCTTCACCCGCCTTTCTCTCTCTCTCTCTCTCTCTCTCTCTCTCTCTCTCACTCTCTCATTTCAGAAAAGAGCAAGAGGGCCCCCAACAGAATTGGCGGTGTGCCGAGTGGGCCCTCCCCTGCTATGTCCAATTAATCCAATTAGATCCCCTTTTCCGGGCAGATTGACGGGGAACGCGCCAAAAAATGGCAGACCACCAATTTTGGGCCCCAGGAGCTGGAGCTGGGTTGGAAGAAGCAAAAGTGAATGCTATTCAGAGGAATGACACGGGGAGATGGAAAAAAATGGAGCTTGGGATTGCTTAGCCATGGTTTAGGCTTAGCTTAGGCGTGGCTTAGGCGTAGTTTGGCTGAGCTTAGGCTTAGCTTACAAGGGAACCTCAAGTTGGCACGGTGGAATTTCGAAAAACGCTCGCGGCTACCCCTAGGTTTTCGACTATGGCGATTCCAACCCTCTAGTCAGAATTTCCTTAATGGGCCTCTGGACAGAGATACAGCACTTCCGGAAAATGATAATTTACATCCGAAAAATTAGCATTAGCGATAGGTTTATGAGGACCTCCCATCACTATGGAGTCACCAGTTGAGTGGCCGGGTGGTAAGCGACTCGCTTGATAGAATACTGACGCGGGTTTGAACCCCGCTCACGATTTTTTATTTTGATTTTTGACCGGAACTTCCTGCACAACTCTAACTTTTGACTTTTACTATAAGAAAAATTTTTGGTGATGGCCCCAGGCTGACTACTCCAAAGAAGCTTCAAAAATTCGCAAAAATTATGCGAACAGCTGGGTGTTCCCATCTCCGTTGTTTTACAAATGGGTCACTCGGATGAGATTCTTTGCATTTTTTGGCTTCGATAACGCTTTTTGACAAACAGAACGAATTTTCGAAAAAAAGTAACCAAAACGTGGAGTTGGGCAGAAAGTTCCGGACACAAAGCAAAATAAAAAATCGTGAACGGGTTCGAACCTTGGTCAGCATCCTATCATGCGAATCGCTTACCACTCGGCCACTCAACTGGTGATTCCATAGTGATGGGAGAGCCTCATAAACCTATCGCTAATGCTAATTTTTCGGATGTAAATTATCATTTTCCGGAAGTGCTGTATCTCTGCCCAGCAGTCCATTAAGGAAATTCTGACTAGAGGGTTGGAATCGCCATAGTCGAAAACCTAGGGGTAGCCGCGAGCGTTTTCCGAAATTCCACCGTGCCAACTTGAGGTTCCCTTGTTAGGCTTAGCTTAGGCTTAGCTTAGGCTTAGCTTATGCTTAGCTTGGCTTAGCTTAGGCTTGGCTTAGGTTTGGCTTTGGCTTGACTTAGGCTTGGCTCAAGCTTGTTTTAGGCTTGGCTTAGGTTTAACTCTGGCCCATTAGCATGGAAACAAAGCTGCAAAAAAAACTTTAGGTCTTAATCGACCCCCATGTGCCCCGACTACGATGAGCTCCTCTGAACGCACAGTACTTTTTGCGCCAATGGCATTTTCTCATTTTTGTGTATTATTTATCACATGATATTTTTAATTTAATAGATCTCTATTTCTAGGTTTTGCACATACCGTAACCCCGAGATTTTGTTGTGTCTCTATGCTAGGTACTGGGCCCCCGGAAATGGCGATGTGGAATGTGGGCCCCGAACGATGTGGGGCCAAGCGGAAAGGGCCCACCAAAGCGAGAGACCCATAACAATTGGTGGACCATGGGTGGAAATACCCAGGCAACCCCCAATGGCTAGGGCAAGCACCATTAAACCCAACTACCAATTCCGTGGTGGTACCTGCTCGATTTTCACCTGGAGCAGGGCCTGGATTTATGGATAGGCCTCAGCTTACGCATGACCCTGATTCTAAGCCAAGATTGAGCCCAATCTAAGCAAACCTAAGTAAAGCCGAACCCTAGTGCTAAGCCTTAAGCCAAGCCTGAACTGAAGCCTAACTAAGCGTCTGCCTAAGCTCACCACAAGCCTAAACCTAGGCCTAAGCCATAACCTAAGCTTAAGACAAGCTGAAGCCTAAACCTAAGTCTGAGCCTAAGTTTAAGCTTCAACGTAAGGCTAAGCCTAGCCTAAGTCTGAACGTAAGCTTAACCTTCAACCCAAAGCCAAGCCCACCTAAAAAGCCTAAGCCTAAGCAAAACCTAAATTCAAGGCCAGGTTCAGCCTCAACCTAAGCCTAGGCCTTAATTAAAGGGCACGTTCAGGTCCGTTTTTTTGGAAAAAAGCAAAGTTTTTTGCCGCGGCCGGATGTCGAACCCGGGCCTCCCGATTGGGAGACGCGGTCGCATACCAGTCAACCTGGCGAAGGGGCGAGGGACGCCCCACGCCGCAAAGGAGGGGAATTGCCTGCCACGACACGGGCAGGCAGTGCGCGCGGTCCCTACGTCCATAGGGTGTACACGTTGAGCCGAGTACACGGCCTCTCCCTGAACGTGCGCTTTAAAGCTGAGGCATAAGTCCAAGCTATGTCTACGCCTAAGCCGAATCCAAGCTGAAGTCTGAACCTAAAGGCTTAAAGTTTACTTAGCTTTGTATTACACTTCTGAAGGTTATACCCAGCTTTATTAGCCTATTTTATGACCCCTATCCTATATCACGATTTATAGCTTTGTTTTGGCGCGCGCCGTGTTTTAGGGATTTTTTGGCGTCTTATACGCTTGCTACCAATCGGCGATCATCTCTTATTGTACCCTTTCCCACTTGTGGCGTCCCCGTCCCACCCCATGGCTTGCCACTATGGCCTAATGGATAGCATCCAGGTCTACAAAACGGGGGTCCCGGGTTCGACGCCCGCCCGCGGCATGGTTTTTGCTTTTTGAGCTCCGGAAAGGTTGGGCATCCCTTTAAAGTATATATGGGTCCAAGCCCGGGGGCGCCGCCAAAGGCGCCACCCGAGGCACCCCCCTAGGGGGCGTGCCGAGTGGCGCCTGGGGGCGCCGCCCCTATGATTTTTAACGGGGCGAGGGGCGTTACCAACGGCGCCTGTGAGATTATGCAAATCTTCGATACTAATGTTAATTAATCATTTCAAGCGCAAGAGCAACGGACAGTAGAGAGCAAATAACTTTTTCTCTTGCACTTCAGAAAAGCCTAGTAACGTAATATGTAGTCAGCCTTTTAATAATGTTTTAAATAAAATTTAACTATCCTTTAAGTGGAAAAAAAATAAAAAAATTGGTTGAAATTTTAGGTGGAAATTTCGAAATTGAAAGTGAGATTGGAAAATCGGCCATTTTTGGCAGAAAAATCTATATTTTTTTTGTATTTCAGTCACAGTTTGTAAAGTTTTTACGTTTAAGAATAATAACAATAGTTTCGAAAGCTTCCACTATTTCTTTTAGAAAAGAGGTCCTTAGCAAAAAGTGGGTCCCCCATCAACACCCCCTTCCTCTACAATGCGAAAGGATCGGGAAAAAATTATAGGCCAATCAACTAATAGCTTTTGCCTTCTTTGATATTAAGGATCAGCAGTCAAATCTCATTTCCATAATAACACCGCATTTTTGCTTTGCATCTCGGTTTTCCGGCGCCTTTTGGTCAGCCCCAGGCGCCGCCACAGGCGCCACTCGGCACGCCCCCAGGGGGTGCCTCGGGAGGCGCCTCTGGCGGCGCCCCCGGGCTTCGACCCATATATACTTTAAAGCTTCTACCCTTCAAAAGCCGATCACAAATTGTAAAGATGTCCGTATCGTTCCATATACCATTTCCCACCTCCCACAGTTTGCACCCCCGAAGCGGCATGAGTCAGAGCGCGCGCTCGGGACAAATCCACAATACTCCTCCCTACAGCCCTTCCCAACCATGCCAAACAATCCATCGGCTTGCTATGATATGTATTCTAGCTATCCATACCCCCCCCCCTCTCTTCCGATCAACCATCGTTATTTTTACGAGGCGCTACAACATTGGCGGAAAGCCCTCGGAAAAAACCGTCCGCCTCGCACCGGCGCCCGGTTTTTTAACCCCATTTCCGGGCTATTTTATCGTAGTTTGAAAATTTTTCGCGTTGTATGGTTAAGCAACATTGTCTAAATTTAGATTACACCTTTTAAATGATTATTGGTTTCTCTAGAATGAAACATTTACATTTTTGAACGGAGTCCGTCAAATCCCGCTGTTTATCACTGAAAAATCACTTTTTCTCGTTTTCTTTTAGCATAAACGTGGCTCAGAACAAAAAGGCCTTTCGCACAAAAAAATGGTTTCTTACCGCCTTTCCCTATTTGATTTTAACTACGATTTTTAGCCCTGGGTTTTTGCGTGGTTCAACGACACGACGGGGGAAAACGCCAAAATACCGACAGCCAAAATCCCGACAGCTACGAGCCCACACAACCATAATCCCGACAGCCAAATGCCGATAGCCAAAATCCCGGCTGCCGAAATACCCAATCCATAATCCCAACACGCAAAATAAATGTTGAAAAGGAACTAGTATACAAATTACTAGCGCGCATATTTCGCAATTTTGGCTGTCGGTATTTTGACTGTCGGGATCCTGACCGGGATTCTGTCTGTCGGCATTCAGAAAGCCGGGATGCCGGCAGCTAAAATCTCGACAACCAAAATCCCGACATACAAAAAGATGTTTAAAGGGAGTCACACAAGCTAGCCTCAAAAAATACCGGGCTTTTTTCGTCGTAATTATGGCTGGCATTCCTTTTTAACCTCTTCTTCTTAACCTTTTATCCATACTTTTGAGCCAAATTTTGCTACGGTATTGATAGATTTTTATTTGTTTTTTATTACATTTTTATTATGCTTTTTAACGCCCTCAACAGTCAGCTTTTCAGACGACCGCCTACCAACTCCGGGGAGCAATCCACGACCGCAGATTTGCATAAATTTGGTGTCGAAAATCGATTGTCTACCCGTCGACCCAATTGCTGATCCTCTAAACAAAAGCTCAAGCTCAAATCCTTCGCTATCAAATGCGGGAATGGATCTTCGAAAGGAGGATGGTCTCCTCTGGCGTCTACACAACAGCTTCTATTTTGTACTCTGTCTACGAGCATTTTCCGTGGTAAGCAGTTATCTTTACGGTACTGGTTTGTTAGCGGGGGCGAAGGCCTTCGGATCGCCCCCCCCCGTTAACGCATCAGTACCCTTTTATCCACCATCAAAAAGTCCAGATTCTGACGCTAATCACCCTAATCATCTGCGTCTCCAGCCAGCATTGGATGAATAAGATGGCGTCCGGTAGGGTTTTTGGGATTTTTGGCATTATCGGGGGTGCGATTTTTCTAAGATAAAACGAAAGCTGCTTTGTTTCTGTATTTTGTAGAACCAAAAACGTGCAAAAATCACAATTTTTTTTTTCAAAATCCAAAAAACTCAATTTTTCAAGCAAAATTCTAATTTTTAAGATGACATCTCGTTCGCTTGAAAATTCGTTTGTTTTAGTATTTTAATACAGTGGCAAAGTAAATATAGCTATAAAACTCGTTTTTTTCAGTTGCCGGCCTTTTCTTCACTATTATTGCCTTTATCATGTACAGCTGCTCGATCGGGGCGGTATATATGTGCAAACTGAGGACAAGCGCCCTCGCGAAGGTATTCTTGATCAATTTATATAGTTATTTCAGTTTTAATTTAAATTAACGTTAGTAACTCCTCATTTTCTAGCGTGCCCTGTTCGTGTTCGTGGGGGCGCTGTGCTCGTTGGCGTCGGCGGTGCTCTACGTTTTGGCGATACACACCTGTGATCAGTGGTCTTTCCATTTTGGGTGTTCCTCTTCCTACCTATCAACGGGAATGCAAGTCGCTGCGGTGAGTGGATGTGAAAAACAAGATTTTTAAGGTGTTAACGGAATGCTGACACAAAATTCGTACCACTCGAATGAAAACTGCAAGGCACGCACAAATTATCGGTGTCCAAAGACGCCTCGCGTATGCTTAGGCTAAGCCTAAGCCTAAGCCTAAGCCCCGTTAAACCTTGATATCGGTTCTTTTGTATTATCGGGGGAGCCAACTTTTCCTTAGGATCTAATTTATAAATAAAAATAGAAGACGTATTTCTCTCATGTTTTATATTACTAAACGTAATCGTACGAAAGTTTACAAATTTTGGTAAAAAAAAAACGAAAAATATCGATTTTCGCCCAATAATGGCCGATTTCCGCCAAAAATTTCGATTTTCAAGGAATTTTAAAGTTTTTAGCTAATTTGTGAATTCAAAAGAAGTAAAAATTTAGTAAAAAGACGATCAAATAGTTTTTATTATCTTACTAGGCATTTCTAGGCTTTTCCAAACGAATTCGTTTCCCCTGATCCCCCCCATAATGCAAAAGAACCGAGAATCGTACCGTGCGAACCGGATGAAATTTGTTATTGAGCAATTTTAGTGTGTTCAGCTTTAAGGGCTTAAAAATACCAATAAAAACTATATTTTTCTAGGCATTCGCCTTCCTTTGCCTCTTCTGCTCGTGCCTTGATTTTGGTCTGCAACTGCTGTTCAACCACGGTACTCAGCCGGAAAGCTGTTTACCGCCTGCCCAAAGCTATTCGCCGGCCTCTGGATATTCAGCCCAACCCCGGCAGCCAGTCAGTTTTGTGACACCGCCCGAGTGAGTTCCGCTTTTCCTTTGTTGTCCAGCCGAACCGTACCGTTGCCAGCGAATGGATTTGTCAAAAGTAGGCCCACGGGTTCTTTGGCCTTATCCGGGGGGGGGGGGACATTCCTTTGATCGCAGAAATGCCTCGTAACGTAATAGTAAGTGTTTTAGCCGTATTTTTAGTCAATCTATCTTTATTAAATGGGCAACCATTCAAAATCCTGAGAGGAATTTAAAAAACCTAGAAAATTTCGACATTGTGATCGAAAATCGGCCGAAAATCGAAAAAGCATATTTTGTATTTTTCATGCCAATTTTTATAGTTTTATGTCTTTAAAATAATATGAATTATGTAGAAACACTGCCGTTGTTTATATTAGAAATATTGGAGCCTAAAGCCCGTGCCTCCCCCCGATAATGCCAAAGAACCGCTAAAATTTTCAGTCCTAGTTTTTTCTGTTGCTTCCCTTTTGTAAATGTCTAACCCTACTATATATAACAATGTTTGCGATCAATTCTTCGCATCACCCGCGATATGCCAACATAGCCATTTACAGCTTATGGTCGGCCGAGAGAGCGACGTGTGATGGAGGCTCTTTGTATACGGCGCAACGCCCCTATGCCTATCACAACCAAGGCCTTCAGACTGACGTCTAGCCATCAGTTTTTGTACAAAATGAAAATAAAGTATACACTATGATTTACAGATCATACACTAATTTCAGGCAAACATATACAAGCATAAAATGCATTAAAGTGATAATTACATGTAAAAACCGGTAAGACATTACTTAACCCCCCCACAGCCGACGGGTCTCAAAGTTTTCGGTATTTTCGCTTATTTTGTCGGGATTTTTGCCACGCCATTCGATAGAGCGTCGAAAAATATACTTCGAGTTTTAATTTGAGCCCAGAATAATGTAAAATAAAAAAGTTATAAGCGAAACATTCCGGGCGGGGGGGGGTGAAGTTAAGTGTACCCTAGAAACCTTCAAACCGAACGATTTACCAAATTTCGAGTATGAGACGCTACGTTGCACACTTTTTCTGTACGCGCCCGTTACATTTTCGCAAATTCGGAGGGCAAATGTTCCCGTTTTGCCCTGCGAATCTCCCTTTAAAATGGTTTTTCCCACGATACGTATCGTAGAGCCCCCAAAATCGGGATGCAAGTATACTTTCCGATCAGAATTACGATTTCACTTTTTGTTGCAGCAGCGGAGGTGGATTTTGTTGCGCCACGTGTTGCGCGTTCAGAGATCGTTCCCTGATCTTGGTAGGCTGGGGGACATAAGGATTGCCGGCTTGGAGACAGTTAAAAAACGTGCGCTGTGGCTCGGAAAGTAACGTAAGAGAAGGCATCTTCTTTAAAAGCCCGTCATCTAGTGCTTGAATGTTCATAGAAGAAATAGATTTTGCGATAGGAAGGAAGAAAATTCTTTTTTACTGGTTGTGCAATAGAAAGGTACATTTTAATGCTAGAAATTGGGTCCAATTTTTACAGATATAAAAATAGCGATTTTTCCATAAAAAATCGCCGATTGCGACTAAAACGTCAAAATTTTCTAGGTATTTAAATAGTTTCCTCTTGGAATCCGGTTAAATTTCCTAAAAATGCAATAAAATACTTTACTATTACATTACTACTCATTTCTTGATTCATAGGGAAAATCGATCCCCCGATAATGCAAAACCACCCAAAAACGTCACGTGTTCAGTTTCCATTACTTTCCTATCGCCGCCCTTTCATTGTTCCGCGCCAGCTCGTGTCAAAAAGTTCAAAAAGTTGGGGAAAATTCTGAGGCAACAAAATTCCCTCACCCCTCAAAATTGGATCTCTTTGTTCAGCTAAGCAAACGTTATCTTTGCGTCACAAAATACATGTCACGCGTTGCGCAACACATTGGCATCACTATAAGACGTGATTGAGGGCAATTTTATACATTCTTTTCATTTCTCAGCAAGGAAATGTCGATTATATATGATCAACCGAGACATCCACATGTGACATTTCATCCTCACTACGATTCGTCAGACATGGGCGTTCCCACCTACGCAAATATCTTCTCGGAAACGGTACGTCATCCATTTGTGAAATTGGCAAATACGGTTTTTCTCGTGATAATCATAGATATAGCCTTTATTTAAGTGCTGAGTATCATTATTTTCAACGTTAAACGCTTTTATCTCGCCAAAACTCTATTTTTTTTTACTTTTAAAAATATGTAACAAAAGTATCATAGGTTTTAGAGACTTTCTTGCTTCAGGAATGATCATTTTTCGATTTTTAGCTTCATAGCGAAATATGGGCTTTATATAGCGGAATTCTGGCATTATTTTAGTGGTTATTACGCGAAATTTCGCATAAAATCGATATTCTTAATTTTCAAACGTTTGGAGCTTCATTATTATTGATTTTAGCGAATTTCTTGCTTCAGAAATGGTTATTTGCATAGTCCAGTAGCCGTTGAGGCTTCCTAAATTTGTGCTATCACAATTTGCCTCGCCGACCCTCTGAAAATCGATCACTCACGCGGCGCGCCCCAATCTCTTGCACAAGACATTTTCACCAGTTCTCTTTTCCTTTAGGCGGACATCGCTATGCAAGAACCAGAGCAGCCCAGCACCATTGACCGGGCACAGCTTACGGTAATCCATTTCTTTTGCCATTTTATAGCAAGCCTTTTTAGCTAGACTTCCAAGCGCCAGAGAGATCCACTTTTGGAGCACCGACTGTCTACGAGCAAACGCCGGTAAGCCATTAACAATCACTTTAAAATTCAGTTTTTGAGGTTTTTCTCTGGGTCCAGGCATTTCTAGCAACCCAATCTAAGCATTTTAATTGTCCGTTTAGTAAAATCCAGCTATATTTAAGGGTTAAAACGATTGAGAAAACTTTAAAAACATAGAAAAATTTGTAATTCTGTTCGAAGATCGACATTTTTATCGAAAAACTTTTAATTTTTAAAAGATCTTTATCCTTAGGAATAGTAAAAAACAGTAGAGAATCACGCCCTCTATTTGTGTTAGACAAATTGGAATTTAAGAAAAGGTTCGGATCCCCCGCTCCGGAACTACTAAAGAATCAGTTTCCGTATTCGGTTTCGAAAAACCCACTTCCGGTGCATTACTATTCACAAAAACGCAAAAAGGCCATCTAAAATCGATTTTCAGTTGACCGGAAACTTCATGTGGGATTCACCGATTATCGAGCACGATATTGACGGTATCACGCTACCTGATGTAAGTCAAAATTAAAAAAAACCCTGTTATTACCCGGTACAAATTAAATAATTCTTTTAAAGTATAATATATTGTTTTAAAGAAAAAAAATGCATTTTTAGTGGTCCCAACTCCTCATGAAGCGCCGATTCGATGAAACCTCGGACGCAGATGCGCAATCGGAAAGCACGGACAGCAGGCCGATTCTAACAGGTAAGAGAAGAGCGTTAAAAAAAGCATTTATAACATTGTATATTTATTATATTTTTTTGGTATTATTTCATATCTATTTTATACCATTATATTTTAGCAAAACGCTCAAGGAAGCGCAACTTTGCTATGGACGGCACGGAAAATATGGAGAGCGAGTTGGAGAGTAGCAAACCTTAATTATTTTCATGAATTTTTCGTTTTACACCGCTTGACACCGGTTTTATGTTTTTTCGGCTCATTGTTCTACGGGTTTTTACGTGCTTTCCCTTCATCACATCCGTCGTATCGTCTAGACCCCCCGTATTATGATGCTATGTTGAAGATTACGAGTGTATATTTTATTCGGAAATTGCTAATGATAGCTCAGGAACCGTAGAAAGCACCTTGGTGCTTCGGGAAATTTGTCTAAATAGAATAAATATTACAAATTCTAGATTCGTCGTGTGAAACAACACTCAAATTGTCAACGCTTTATCGAAATCAACATGATCGGCTTTATTTGCCGCCGACCGGATATTGGAAGTTGATGCGAACTTCTTCGCCGACTTTCTTGCACTCCACCGTCATGGTTCCGGTCTAGGAATGGATTATAAGAAAATCGGGTCTTTAAGGTGGACTAAATACATCATTTACAGAAAAAGTAATTTTATGAATATACCAACGCGTCAGTCGAAAGGCTAAAAGTCAGCTTACAAAACCTACAACATCCTCCAGCTCTTCTTTGCTATCAATCTCGACATCTGTCACCGGCACGTTGTCCTCCTTCCTGACATAGCAGCCTAAACCTCACATTTCATTGCGTTAGCTTAAGGTTTTTTTCATTTTATAAAAACGCACCGTCAGCCTTTGTGTACACTCCCTTATCATCCTCTCCACACGTCATCCGGAAGCCAAACTTTGTCACTTTGCTAAACTTATATAAAGAATGTTAATTCTCTAAATGTTCTACCTTCCATTCGCATAGCCCTTTTCGCCGCTGGGGATCAGCGCATCTTTCAGATTCACGTCTTTCAACATGCAACCTAAATAGCCAAAGCATCCTTTAGATGGACAAAATACCCTTGAACTTCATCAGATGAAGCCCGGGGACAACCTTCGATTCAACGCACACGTAGACAAAGTTGTTGCGCTTGATCTCCTGGCCATCCTATTACCCAAAATTTAAGAAAATACCAACGATTTCTACCTTCTTACACTCGTTGTCGGCTACAACAAACCCAAGGACGAATGCAAAAATGAGAATCGCTGGATGCATTGTTGGTGAAAGATAGAAATGTGGCCGAGGCCACTTTTCAAAAAGCGGATACAGATGAAACACGATTTGTATGCGACACGCCTCCTCATCCCCTTTGCAATGCGATTCAGTCTGTTATTCCCTTTCAAATGGGCTAGCTTTACTTCTCAAAAACCAGGGCACAGATGCACACACGGAGGTGCGCGACACGAACAAGTGAAATCACACGAAACGGGGCCTGGCCCCAAGGGGGTCGGCACACCGACGATCAACCACAAGTAACAGAGGAAATGCAATTATGTGGGGGAGCTAGGTATCGGTATCTAACGAGTCTGCAGGTAGGTCATCTACTTGAGCTGAGGGAAGGCCATCTGGGGACGGGCTTCAACGGGGGCACCATCGGCGGGCCAGAATTGGGTGACCGTCTTCCATTGCGTGTAGAATTGGACTCCGGCCTGAAAAAAAAGACAAATAGAAGATTGGAAAGGATAACAAACGCCCTTTTTTATATCCAAAAATTTTGATAATTTGCTGAATTTTCAAAAAAGTGAAATTTTTCCAAAAGTTTATTGGCTTTTTAAAGAAGTTTTTAAGTTGGACATGTGGGAAAAATTCAGCTCCCCCCCAACCCACCTAAGAAAACAGAATAGAAAATTCCACATACCTTTCCGTAAAAGTTGAGATCTCCGTGGAAGGACCCGCGCGAGCCGGTGAACGAGAACATGGGCAGGGGCACCGGGATCGGCACGTTGATTCCGACCTGTCCGACGTCAGCATCGTGGGTGAAGCTAAAAGCGAAAATTCTGAATTGTGACTAGATGGTACAAACCGGCGAGCAGTGTTTCCGCTTGTGGTGAAAATGGCGGTTCCGTTTCCGTATTTGTTCTTGTTGATAATCTCAATAGCTTCATCAAGCGTATCCACCTCCATCACAACCAACACGGGGCCGAAGATTTCCTCCTAAAACGAGAAATAAAAACAAAAAAGTTTAAAAATACCTTGTAGCACTCCATCTCGGGCTTGACACCAGCAATGATGGTGGGTCCGACAAAGTTTCCGTTCTCAAAGCCCTTGACGACGCAGTTGGATCCGTCGAGCGGAACACGGGCTCCTTCCTAAACTATATTTGAGAAAGCAGTGATAATTGCAACCTTGGTGGCGTTCTTGACGATGCTCAGCACACGGTCCTTGGACTGCTTGGAGATGAGGGGTCCGATGTCGGTGTCCGGCTTCCAACCAGCGTTCACCTTCAGCTTCTGCACCTTATCGACAAGCTCTGGCAGCCAGGAGCGGGCCTCGCCGACGAGGATGGCGGTGGTGAGAGCCATGCAGCGCTGGCCGGCAGCTCCGAAAGCAGCAGCGGTCAACTACGAAAATAGTAGTTGAAGATAAAATTATCCTACCTGGTTGAGGGTAGACTCCTTGTTGGCGTCGGGCATGATAACTCCGTGGTTCTTAGCGCCCATGTTGGATTGGACGCGCTTTCCGTTGCGGGCGCCGCGCTCGTAGATGTGCTTGCCCTAAACAGAATAAAAATATATTTAGGAAAGGCCATACAGCAGTGTCGGCTCCGACGAAAGAGATGGCCTTGATGTCGGGGCTGTCGCAGATGAAATTGACGGCGGCGTGTTGACCATGGATGATGTTGACGCATCCGTCCGGAACACCGGCTTCCTACACGATTAGAGGTTTTTGTGGGGAAGAGGAAAAAGCTAAAAATTTTTTTGTATGAGATCGATTACGTGAATATAAAGCATTCTATCTTGTTCTTAATACAAGTTAAATTTTAAGTAAAAAAGCATTCATAGAGAAAATCTAGGATTTGGCCGACAAAAAATCGACCCCTCGCGAATACTTCAAGCCTTTAAACTTTTATACCTTGGCGAGCTGGACGAGCATCATGGCCGCTCCAGGGTCTTGCTCAGATGGCTTGAGCACCATTGTGTTTCCGGTGGCCAGCGCCATTGGGAACATCCACAACGGGATCATGGCCGGGAAGTTGAAGGGGCAGATACCTTAAATAAAATTTTGAATTATCTATGCAAAATGCCAAACCGGCGGTGACTCCGAGCGGGATACGATAGGACATGGTGTCCATGTCACGAGACACATTCGGCAACGTCTCACCCTGGATCAGCGACGGAACACTGCAGGCGTGTTCGACGACCTAAACAGAATTCAAAAATGTTTTAAAAATGGCTCGCACCTGAAGACCACGCATGACATCTCCTTCGGCATCAGGCAGCGTCTTGCCCTGTTCTTGAGTGATGTTAGCGGCCAGCTTTTTCATGTCGCGCTTGATCAGCTCCTGCAGCTTGAACATCGACTGGATGCGGGTCAGGACTGACCTAAAAAGGGCTAAATTTAAGAAATCTCGACGAACGTCTTGCTCCATTTCTCGAAGGCGTGCTTGCTGGAGGCAACGGCGGCCTCCATCTCGGCTTGGGTAGCCTTTGGGACTCGGGAGATAACCTCATTTGTTGCCTACAAACAATGATAATAAAAAAACATCATTTAGCACAAGCAGCCGTTTTTGCGGAGAAAAAACCTCACCGGGTTGGTCAGCTCGATCCATTCGTTGGTCTTCGACTCAACGGCCTGTCCGTCCAGCCATAGCTTCACGGTTTCCTGGCTGCCGAGGACGGCGCGAGATGTGTGAAGAGACTTTGACTAAAGCAAATATTTGAAATTCATTGTCGTATATACCGAGACAACGGAGAGCCGCGACAACATTGTAACCGCAAGTCCTGAAAAGTTTGGAGACATAATGGAAGTCAAAGAAAATTTATTTGAGATAAAAACTTCAGAGAGTAAAAAGGCAAAAAAATATCCAATCTACCCAATCGATAAATAGTTACGAAAAAGTTTTCGAGGGGGAGAAATCCAGGGTTCATGGGAGCTTAAATTAGGTCACCTTTCAATTGCCTGAATTATACCGATAAATAGCTACCTAGAACTCAAAAGCCTTTTCGTCGGAACTGCGAAATCGAGAAGTCAAACTGATCGCCAGGTCGTTTCGGGGGCCTTGATCTGTGGAAGGAGAGACGACGGGAGGGCGCTTTTCTTTATTTTTTGGCTCTTTCGGCCGTGAAAGCGGCGAGACATCGGGCCAACAAGCGAGACTGCCGGGGCATCGACGACAGGGATAGGCGGTCACCCCACGTGCACGGGTTGGACCTCTTGCTGATCGAGGGCGATGGGTGATCTTTCCTAATTGATTTTTCGCAACAGACGTCTGGATAGGATGCATTTACGGGTGATTATCACGCCATAGCAAATCAGGGAGTGGGCAATACTAAATCGGCTACAAATTTATCATTTTTACAATTTCTAAAATAAAACTAATTTTAAGTAACAATCAAAAGTAATTAGCTAATTACGCTTAGTCTGACAAACGCAATCTGGAAAGTACTGTAAAATAATTAATATTGGAAATAATCAGGTTCCAATAATCATAATAGCGCGCTACCGAAAATTTTTATCACTGAAACGTTCTTATCAAATTCTTTATTAGGAAGCGGCGAGAGATAAGCGCAAAAAAAGACCCGATCACATATTAGCTATTACATATGCGGGATAAATTAGGAATCGGATAAAACTCAACAACCTGGACTGATGCACCAGTCGCGTACAGAAAAAGGGAGCAAACGGAGAGAAGGCAATTCGAATTGCGACAACTACTAACAAGGAGATGGTCTCAGCTGGGAATCGAATTCGGATTTGAAAATTTGCACACTTATAGAGCTCGACGAGACAAATCGATTGGTGTAACTTTCAGCTGCTGATACGATAACCACGCCGAGTTATAAGCATTTTAAGTTTTTGCATACATTTTGCATGTTTTCGGCCATAGCTTCATAAGCCTTCCCCGCCTCCCCATCACCATGGTCTGGTAGCCTAGTGGTGTAGAAGGCGTCCTCCGGGGAATCTAACGAGGGTTCGAACCCGGTCACGATTTTTATTTTTTTGCTTTTTCGTCCGAAGGTTCCTCTTTGCTTTCTGAGGACCTTGCATAGCTTTTTACGCATTATTTGAACTCCTCTGGTGCGAAATTGCTAAAAAACATCTCTTCGAAAAAATTTAGATGTTTTACCCGAAAGGACTATGCCGGTCCCAAAATAAATTGAAAATTCAAAGCATATCAAAAATCGTGGAGTAAACGTAAATTTGGTAAATAGTGTGTTATCCGAACAAAAACTTTGATCCGCGAAAATTTTTTGGAAATGGTAGTCATAGGTCGGACAAGGGCTCGATGCCCAGCAAGAAAAATTTTTGCGGTGAAGTTCGATGTTGTCGGCGCATCAAAGGAGTTAAAATAAAGCGTAAAAAGCTATTCAAGGTCCTCAGAAAGCAAAGAGGAACCTTCGGACAAAAAAGCAAAAAATAAAAATCGTGAGCGGGTTCGAACCCTCGTTAGATTCCCCGGAGGACGCCTTCTACACCACTAGGCCACCAGACCATGGTGATGGGGAGGCGGGGAAGGCTTATGAAGCTATGGCCGAAATCATGCAAAATGTATGCAAAAACTTAAAATGCTTATAACTCGGCGTGGTTATCGTATCAGCAGCTGAAAGTTACACCAATCGATTTGTCTCGTCGAGCTCTATAAGTGTGCAAGTTTTCAAATCCGAATTCGATTCCCAGCTGAGACCATCTCCTTGTAAGTAAGCAATTGCCCAATCGAGGGGGATATCACATATGTCTGGGGCCGCATCATGGAGCTGTTGCCAAGTATCACAACGGATCGAAAGGGATATTCTAGCTGGGTGGACACGTTTCTCGCGATCAGTAGAACCGTTTGCGCATCTGAACCTTCGGTAGCCAGACGGCCTTGTAGATGTAGAAGCCGACTCCGCAGAGGGTGAGAGCCAGAAGGAGGAAGAAGAACTAAAAAGGTATAAAAAAATGGGGCAAAAGGCTCACCTTCATTCCCCAGCCCCATCCTTCGGATTGCTGAATGACGGGTTGAGCAGGAGTGTCTACTTTATGCTCAGGCACAACGGCTGGCATGCTTGAATGGGGTGGCGCATCAAGAGCACTCCTAAAAAAATTTAATAATGTAGATACTTCAGAAGATTATCTACTCGATACACGAGCCGGGCAAAAAAACGCTCTGGTCCGCCCGCAGACGAACCAGAGCCAAGAAACGGTCGACCTACACTTTGAAAGTAACAATTTCATGATTGTTCGTGAGATCACCAGTCGAAGCGGACATGCCAAAAATGTAGTTGGTAGGAAGGCGTACGGCTAAAAATGTAATATTTTTTATCTTCACAAAATCATACCTTCAACTTTGGCGCAAGCGGTCCACTTGAAGTCATCATACTGCGAATAGTAGAGCTCCAAATTTTCCATGTAATATCTAAACAGGGAGGATTCCATAAACCTCCATCAATAAACCTGAGAAGAATCCGGAAGACCTTGTTGCTGCGAGCATCGGTGTCCGGACTTTGAGCTCCACCACTAAAAAAACCTTACCGAGTTTGAGAAAGTGCTTTACGTGACATGGCAGCTGCCAAGGTTCAAGTTAGCGCCGTCCTTGTCCCAGTCGAGGTTCTGCGTGCCGTCGTTCAATACCAAAGACAGTCGAGGGTACGACTCGTGGTTGTTCGGATCGTTCTTGTAGGTGTCGAAGACTATAAATTTGTCTTGTATAAAAAGAAAGCAAAACTTACGGACTCCAACGCCTTTGAAATTTTCATTGACACCGAACACTGGTCCAGGCAGTGGAGCATCAGCAACATGCCAGAGGGCGATACCTTCAGCATGTAGCTTGCCTGCATTTCCGTAAATTCGGATAGAAGCCTGGAATCGGAAAATTTACGCTAAAAAAAAAACAGAAAAATACCTGAGCTTCCCAATCTCGCTCTTGAACACGTGCTCGGCTCCAAATCGTGCCTCGCATCGAGCGCTGGTCGCGGGTGAGACTGATTCGGTTGTTGATCATCACGGAATCGCCTAAAAATAGAAAAGTTTGAAGCCGGGAAAATACCGGTCGTATCCCAAGCGGTGTAGAGATTCGGGAACGGCGGTCGGAGCTCGAAATCACGCATCGCGAACCCGCGTTCCTCGTCGACATGAGACCCTGAAGAGCTAGTTTAGGCCAGAAAACGAAAAATATCCTGGTCAACGAGAAAATTCAGCGAAAAAGCGTACCCTCGATCGACGGATTGCCGGCACCCTGCGCTAGAAGGACGCCCAGGAAGCTGGCGACGAGCACGACGCCCCGCATCTGAAAAGAGCACGTTGGTATTGAGGAGATACGTACTAACAGAACTTTATAAGGTTCAAAATTGAGAAAGAAAAGATTAGCAAGCTTTGACGAATCGTTTACCACATCAAAGGAGATGAAGTGGAGCCCCGGGATTGCGGTGAGCGGGGAAAAGAGCGCGGCGTTTGCATGCCGATAGTACAGTATCGTACAGTGCCACGCAGGCTTCTGCAGCGGCTTACAATATGATGTTACCCAACAAAAAAATCAATTTTCGCCCCCAAAAAGTGGCCCCGGCTGCATGAATGGATAGGCCAATCGAGGTAGCGCGCTCGGTATTTGATGAAAATTGGTACTTTTCACTTATCGGGGGGTCCATACGGCTCCGTACGCCTAGTAAGTTACTAGTAGTATATGTAGCAACCTATTGACAAGTGTTTTACTAGTTTTTTTGTAGATTTAACCCTATTGCCAAGGCAAAAAACTATAAAACGCTAGAAAAATCTCAGATTTTTGTGGTGAAATCTATATGCTTTTTATTGCTAACAAAAATTGTTGAATTTTTTTGACGTGGTGATGGAGAAAAACAGCTTAGACAATCACTCTAGTGTCTATGCATTGTTTAGAAAATCTTATCCTGGGGGAAGATCGTTCTCCTCCCACGGAAATTTGTACTGCAATCCCCAATTACCCAGTGCCAAGGCAGAAAAATAGTTAAAAAAAATTATTTATTGAGGTATACAAGGCGCTCATCGCATTTTGTAAGGCCGGGGAATTGGTGCATATGTTTTGGTTGATCACAGGCAATAGAATTGGTAAGGGCACGAAAATATCAGCAGCAAAATCAAGTCACGACTTTGGACACCGGCGGAACAATAAACTCGAGATAATAGCCACATTCACAGCGCAATCAATGGAACCCGATGATAAAGCAATTCGCCATAAATATATTATTCCCTGAAATGGAGTAGGGGACGCAAAATAAAATCTGAAACACGGATGAAAAGAGAAGGGTATTTAGCTGCGTTGCATCAATTTGATCAGGAAATCTTCATATTTCATGGGGGATGCGTAGCGTTTGCCAAAGTCGGCAATGGCTTGTCGGCGTTTGATGTGGGTCATTTGATGGCTGAAAACAGTTATGGTTTTGATTCAAAAACCGCTAAATTTTGATTTTTTAAACCTACTTTTCCGCCTCGGCAACGCTACGGTTTGTGATATTGAGGACGGTCAAACGAAGCAGGGCGGGTAAGCACAAAGCAGAGACGACGACACCGTCAATAAGTGGGCCCGGGTCGCCGAATCTATAATTGTATTGTTTACTTAATTTTTTCTGATTTCCGGCTGACGAAAACGAACTCACCTCGTCGGTGTCCCTCGGAAAGCTACTTGAACCAAGCCCGGCTCGACGGAATAGAGGAAGATGATGATGTAGGATGGCTTTGCGGTCGGCAGCGGAGAAGAACCGTTCGTCAGCTTTTCAGCTCCATCGTCGCATGTTGGTAGCAGATCATCTACAAGTTATTACCACCTTGGATATTCGGTTTTTCAACCTACCAATCGGGAAGTGGCCAATGTCCTCTTGGCGTTCCAACCAAACCGTCAAGATGCGTAGCTCTCCGCTTCGCCGCGCCGCACCTAATATTGATTTTTTGGTATTATTTTTAATTAATTTTCGCTGATTTCGGTAATCCCGGGGTTTACTTACCACTCTGTGACGTCGACGATGGTGTCGGGAATTCGCTGTCGCTGCTCATCGTGGAGATGTTGCTCTTTGTTCTTGCTCCGTAGTATGGATCCAAACGTGGCTGCAACCTAAAACTTGCCAGATACCGGAAAAACCTTAATTTACTCACGCATCTTCCGACGACGTATGCCCAGAATACGATTTCAGCGAAGCACGACGAGCCGACGTCGGTGGCGGCAGGTCTTGCTTAAAAATCCGGACACTTCGCTCCGAAGGCGTTATAAAAGCGATCTCGGCCGTGGGTCCGGTCCAGGACAACGCATGCGTGATTCCATCCAAAATATAGTGATCAATGACGCTGCGCTCTTGCGTCGGCCCCTGATGAGAAGCGTACGCAGTGCTCCAATGTCCGGTCCAGCCGCCATGCTGACCAACTTCGACGCCTTCGCCAAGTTCAGCCAACAACGTGCAGAATTCAGATGATGTGTTCTGAATGTTGAGCGCGTTTTCTAGAATATCGACAGCGCTTCGTTGGCCGACTTTTACATAGAAAATATGGACAGTTTGGAGGGTTCTCGCCGGGCAGCTGTCGACTACTCTGTGGAGGTCGTGGTAGAAGCTCGGACTTTGGGCCGGATCGAGGTAGATGAGCTCAGATCCAAAGATGTCTTTGTGGACGAGGCCCATGTCGTAGAGGAATATGCGTAGGGAATCGCAGGTGGCGGCAGGTTGGACCGGGGTTGCTTTTCGTTGTTCTTCAGTTAGGGCAGCCCAGATGTTACGTTCGTCGTGGCGCGTGGGTTTTGGGTCTGATAATTTTGACATGATGGCTTCTACTTCGGGGGTCATCTTGAGTTCGGCCAGGGATGAGTCGCTAAAAAGAGAATAAGTTCCATATAGAAATTTGTGAAGATTTCCAGGCAGAATGCCGACTGCTAAAACGGGGTCATTTTTCAACATTTTATTTGTATGTCGCCATTTTGGCTGTCGACATTTTGACCGTCGGCATTCTGGCTGTTTTCGATTTTTGGCAAAAATTCTAGTACAGCATCCAGTAAAACTCACAGTTTACAGCAGCTTTTATGGAACTCCTCCGGAATCACAAACTGCTCAGCCAGGCTAGGCGGTTGTGGAGCTGGTTGGCGAGCCACTGGAGGCGCTACGAGGCCTAAAATTCAAGTTGGCATTTCAAAAGCTAAAAATACTTGAGGGAGTGGTGGGCGTTGACGCGCCGCTGCTGGATATCGACGGCCCATCCTTCGTCGGTCCATTTCCTATAATGCGATCCTCAAAATAGCGTTGAAAAACGTACCAGATTTTTCTTGCAATCCACCTGCAGCCAGGGCTTCAGAAGTAGGCAAAAGTCTGCCAATCCCAATGGTCGCTGCCTGCATCGGTGTCCTACGCACGTACAAAACGCATGCGGAACCTAAGAATTACGGTGGAAATAAAATAAATAAATAGTTAAACCTTTGAAGACCTCCGGTATATGCGTCGCCTCATGAATTGACAGCAGAGTATCGCCGTTGACAAGGAAATGAGCGAATTTCGAGAGATCGATGGCAGACGTGCCGTATTCTTGCGCCAGTCGGGCTTCATCTCCGATCGGTGACGGCTTCCGGCCCTAATAAGAATGTTTAAAGATTTAAGCCCTTTTCTTAATTTTTAACCTAACTTGAAATTTGGTCTAATTAAATCACAGATTTCAAAATTAAAGTCAAAGACTTAAGAGAAAAACTCACAACTACACAAAACAACGAGAACAGCAAATATTCGGCAGCGTCCAGCACACGTTTGCTAGCCGCCTTCCGTTCCACCGTTTTCTCGTCGTGCCGTCGGACCCCTGTCACGCCGAGCTGCACTGCTTCGGCCACCGTATTCAAGACGCTCTCGCATTCAGCAAGCATCGGCGCCGCCACCAACCAGGCGACGATGCAAGAATATGCAGCGACTACCTGAAACCATAAATTTTATGTTGAAAAGCAAAATTAACGCACGCTTGAGTGCAGATCCTTGCTATGAAGCGGGGGCGGCTTCATCAGCTGCGTCTCGATGAAGCGGCACAGCGATGAGATAATCAACGAACCGGCAGACATATCCCCTACAGAAAAAAATTTATTTTTTTTTGGAAGGGCCTCACGATTCGAGAAGAGGACGCTCTGGTGTAATGAAGAGATTGTGTGAAGGACGTCAATAGCCGAAAGGCAGATGGAGAAGTCGCCAGCCCATTCCGGACGTGACAACCGGTCGCAAACGGCCGAGATGAGGCCACGGACGAACGAGCCGCAGAGGCCTGTCAAATTTAATGGTTTTTCAGCTTTTAGTTTTTATTCGGTTGTCATTTAATGATTCAAAATTGTGCTTTTAAAAAGTTTTTAAACTTTGGAATGCTACCTTTCTCGGGTTGGTTCTGGCTGAGTGATGCAGAAATTCTCATCATATCCTTTGCTTGTTCTTCGCTGAGGCCAAGGTCATAAGCGGCGCTTTCCACCACGAGAATCGACGTCATCGCTGTAAAAAAACTTATATAACTAATTTTTCTGGGTTACCAAGAGTCTGCTGCAAATTGGCGGCGTCGGTCTCGTTGCGCAGGCTGAAGATTAATGTTTTGTACATTCTGGGGCGCAGGTGGAGATAGGTGGCGGCCGCTGACTTCAGATTCGCGCCAGCCGGTGATTCTACAAAATTTTTTGGTACCAAAGAGATAAAAACTAAAAAAACTCACGCGTCATTTTCGTCATGCCATAGACGGTGGGCCAGCTGATGACCGTGGCCAGGGACCGAAGGCAATGGGTTCGGATGTCGGTTTCCGGGAAAGAGGGATGAAGTCTAAAACGGAAATTGGTTTAATGTCATTTTAATTAGTCTAATTTCTTGGGATCTAATTTTTCTTATATAAACAGACGAAGTGTTTGTAACCTGTTTTTTTACGGTTCCAAAAAACTCCTTAATTTTTATCATTTTTAAAACCCAAAAACCTCACAAACGCTAAAAACCAATTACCTCAATTTGCTGCTCTCGATTAGGATGACATCGAGAGCGAAGAGCCAATGCGGCAGCAATGCCTCAACGCCGGGGAGACCCAAGCGGAAGAGCGAATGACCATAGTAAAAAAGGGAGCACAGCACGAGCCGATCCTTCTAAATCGGGCAGCGATTGTTTGGGCCTTTTCGGGGTGACCGCGGTGAAAAATGGGCCCCAATGGGCTCGTAAGTTTCCAGAAATCTGGGCGACACACCTCCACAAGTGCTTCATAAACCATGGCGTAAAATTGGGCAAGGTGCGCGTTTGGAAGGGATTCGGAGGAGCGCTTGCTGCATATAATTCGGGCCAGGGTTCCGATCTAAATAAGCATGAAAGCATAGATTTCTTCAGAATACCGCATTCGCACGTCCAGCGCTGACACCGTTGGCCGACTCGACCATCATCGGGTCCTGGGTGATTCCAGCTTGAGCCTCATGGCCGGAAGAGGCCGTACTGCCCGCTGGAAATTGGAATTTTATAAATTCAGAATTTCGAAACTTCACAATGTTTAAATTGATAATGGCTGATTTTCATAATGTTGAAATATCAAAATGTCGAAATGTCATAATGTCGAAATACGGGAATTTCGTAATTAATATGTGTTTACCAAGTTTACCACGAACAAAACCGCCAAAAAAATCCAAATACTTTAAAAAATTCGATATTGTGAAATTTCGATTTTCAAAAAAAAAACGAGAAAATAGGATATCGACTAGTAAATCGGTGCAGCCTACCGTAGCTATCAGATCTATGCTGGAAGTAGCGTTCGGAGGAGGGCTGATCGTGCTGGTGTGCCTTGCGCTCCGATGAGGAGACATTTTGCATGGCAGCCGGGATGTCGTCAATGTCAACACTGCATAGGGAGAGGCTCGAAATCACATCTGGAAATTGCGTAAAATTATAAATTACTTATTTCGAAACCGGTTTTCACTTGATATCTGGATAAGGAGCATTATGGATTTGAAAAATTCAGGGCGAAGGGGCAAAACGTGGAATCTTTTAGGAAACGATCAGAGCATTTTGAAAATTCCGATAATCCCGACATACAAAACACCGAAAGCCAAAAAGCCGATGACCAAATATCATATAGCCAAAAAATGCCGACGTGCCAAAAACTTGAAGGCCGGAACGCCTAAAGATAAAAAAGTCTAAAGCAAAATGCCGATAGCCAAAATCAAGGAATCAAAGAAGGATCAAGGGAAGTCACCCCCCGCTAACGAAACAAGACCCCATAAACCTGAAAAGAGGGCCAATGCACCCTGGAATGCCCAATTCGGTGACCGGGGGGCCGGTGAGGGGAAGTGCGCGGGGGCGATTTCGAGTGTGGCGGTCTGAATGGGGGAGGATGGCACAATGCCCGCACAAGGTCACTATGCGAACTGCTCGATGAGGATTGTGGGCCAACCCCCTGAAGGACAACACTACCCACAAAGGCGAGGATCGTTTCTTCTGGAAAACGGCTTCTTTTCAAGTCCATTTATGGTCTAGGCGGTGTCTGTCAACCTGGGGCCAGTGCGATTCAATTGAGGAAAACCCTGGTGCTGGACTCTTAGCGGGGGAGGGGATTACAGCCCTTCGTCGAATTTGCGACAATTCTTTTAACCTTCGACCGTAAAAGGCGAAAAGGACCAAAAAGGGTAAAGGTTTTCGAATTTTAATTTTTTAAATATTTTGTATGACTTCGTAGCGATTAAAAGAAACGAAAGCAAAAAAATACATTGTGTCATATTAATAAGTGCTGTACGCGGAAAACAAAAATTATCCCCCCCCCGCTAATAGTAAAGTACCAAACCTTCCGCTTACCGAACCATTAAGTCTAGACTTTGACAAAAAAATAAATAAATTGGTTTTATTTAACGACTCTGAATTTTGAGTTTTCGATCTTTGGACCTGTTTAAGACGCTAATCAATAGAGTGTCAAAAACATACTAAAAAATGTTAGTTCATCCAAAAAACGAAAACTAGAGTAAGCTGGGGTCCACTTTCGGCATTTTCGGTATTTCCCAAAAATCGTTGAAAGGAGGGCTTCCGTTACCTTTCAGCTCCTGAACAACAAGCTTTAAAAGCCACCCCGACACTCCTAATAAACGAATCACCTGAACGGCTCGCAAAATACAGCAGTTACCACCCTAACCAGCTCGTACTCGATATCGACCGCTTGTCGACTAGCCTGTAAAAATAGCCGCGGAACGGAGCGGCGTCCACGTCGTCACCTCCACCTCGTACATTCTAAGCCGATTACAATTTCGGCCAGCTCCACCCGCCCGGGCCGTACACATCGATCGGATAGGTGCGCGCGGGCGGCGCGACGGGGGGGATTCGTGCAGGTTCGCGCAAACAGCCGGCCCAATAGCGGCTTCATTTCGACGGACAGGAATCAGCGGAAATGCTGGTCTATTCAGGGGATTGAATGCCAAAAAAGCAAGCTTTTATGTGCTTGAGTGAGTCAGAATTTCGGAAAATTATTGGTGAAATTCAGGAAACCTAGATCGGCGCGCGGTTCTTTCCCATTATCTGGAGGTGGGGAAACGGGTTTTTTCCCAGAAAACAACATATGTCAAGTAATCGAACAACTATTTTAATAGCACCTCTAATCTTAGATTTAACCAAGTTTCAAGTGGAAAAAATACCAAGAAAAATTCAAACAGAATTAATTAAAGATTGGAAATTTTAGAGAAAATCGGCCATTTCTGTCAGAAAAAGCTATATTTTGCTATTTTCGCTAAAAAATACGGTTGTTACATTAACTAACATCCAAAACAGTAGAAACTTATCCTTGATTCATATAACAAAAATACGGTCCGGTGGAAAAAGTTCAGCCCCCCCCCCCGATAAAGTGAAAGCTCCTGTCCTGTCCCAAAAACACGCCGAACTCAGGTTCCGTTGAAAAGAGAAGAAGCCATGCCAGGTAAAGATTGCTATAGTATAAATTATAAAGCTTGGTGGGACAATAAGTCTCCGGACGAATTTGATAACCCTCCCTTATACTCAAAACAAACCTAAACATTCTCCGCAGCGACCGTAAACTGTAAATAAGTGTAGTCCTTGTTGTTAGTGGGTGACAGGTATACAGAGTAGGGGTAGAATTGGGCGGATTTGGCGGCCTGCGGTCACCTGTCCGAAAGTATCGAGGTGGGGGTGAATGGAGGAGAGAAAATAGGCACAACGGCTGGAAAAGGCAAGCGGGTGGAGGGATGGGCGGCGGTGGAGAGTAATAAAATGCATGATCCGCCCCGCCATGGGCTTGTCGGTCATCAAGCTTTGCCTGAACGGCTGGGGAACGGTCGATTAAATATTTCGGGGCACCGGTATCAGCGAGTATAAATTAAATTATGAGATTTCTACCACGGTCACTTATAAAACCGTTCTCCAGGATCATAGAGCATTTCGAGTACACCAAAAGATGTAGCTTTTTCCGGGCTACAAGGCCTAGTACTCGGTCTTACATATAAATGCACGACAGCGAATAAAATTGAAAAAATCACATTCGCTTCAACGAGTGTTTCCTAAAAAAAGTATTTTTCTGACTTTTTAGCACGGCTGAAAGGTTTTTGCTCATTTCGATGTTGCCACACCCGCGAAACGCTACGCGTCAAGCCGCTTAATCGGTTAAAACGATGCCGTAATCGATTACGCAATGGAAGGGGAAAGCGCGTTGTTCATCATCTATTGCGCAGCGGAACAATTTAGTACGCGTTGCGTGTCGCGGGCTCGATAAATCCATAGGGATTTCTAACTTGCCATTCTCTTTAGCGGAAGAAAATGGTTGAAGAAAAAAAAGTTAAACGCCCAAAAAAAAAACAATGTTTTGTTTTCGATAAAGGTTTCTGCCTTCACAATGTCTTTAGGGCAAGAAGAAGCTTGGAAAATAAGGAAGCCCAACGGCCAAAAAAGGAAGAATACCGGCAAAAACCAAGGAAATCCAAGGCGACGCTTATCAAGTCAGGAAAATACCTGAATTCGTGCGCACCGCCGGCTGGCGCACGAATTTGCGTCGTACCGCATAACTCATGGCACTTGCGCGGGGTGTGGCGGTGTGTCGATCCTAGCAACGTGCACAGGGGGTCCACCCCGCCGTCAAAAGCAGCCGACCAGCAGGTGGGAGGAGGGATGGAAGGGGGGAAGAAGAGTGTTTGCACAAGCGTGAGCCACCAATTCGAACAGCCACTCGAATTCCTCGCGCTCGCTACGGGACGACGACGAGATGAAGCTGGTGGCCGGGCAGAAGCTGCCGAATATGGAGTTGGCGAATATAGAGGGGTGTTTAGGGAGATGTGAATGGGTAGGAAGGGTGGACTGGCCCTGGGCCACCCGGATCGTGGCCTAAACAAGCAAAGAACGGCCGAGGGGGAGGAGGTCATTCTGACAGCCGATGACAGGGCTATAGGGGGACGATTCGGCAAACAGGCAAACATGTACGCTTCCACACAAAATAAGGGGGAAGATAAAGGTTTCGCTAGGCGGTAGGGACGGATTAGCCAGTAAAGTAAGCCAATAAATAATCTTAAAAACCGGGTATTTTGTAGTGCCGGGGGGAGAGACATTTTTTCCTGAAATCCAAAAGTCCTAGCAACGTACTTGTAAGTATTTTCAAATGTCTTTACTAAAATTTAAATGTATTCGAAGGGGGAAAACATTTAAAACTGGCTATTTTTGTTTGAAAAATCGATATTTTTGTATTTTCATGATTTGTAAAGTTTTTACGCCGAGGAATAGTAAATAGTAAAAAAAACAGCTTACAAGGGAAGTGCACGAACTTAAGGTGGCCTTTCTCTTTCAAAATAAGTGGGTCTGATAGAGTCAAACACGGGGATTCCGAATCTGTAATTAGAATCTGCTAAATGAAACGGAGAAAAAAGTTATGAGGCTTCAAAGTTGACAAAATTGACAAAAACGGTACCTTTAGCGGAC